GCGTTCATACCCTTAGAGTAGGTTTGGGTAGTGTTCCTTTCGTGTGACCAGCTTATGATGTTAAAATCCCCCCCCAAGCACCAGCAGGGGTGTGGTAGGGAAGTAATATGATCCAATTCAGCTCAGAAGTTGGGTCTATCTGCATCTGAATTAGGACTGTAGACAGCTGTGAATTTCCAAAGAAGCCCATCATAAGTGCGAGAGAGTAGAATAGTAACCGAGAAGTCTCCAGAGTGGGAGGAGACCAGAATGTTATCTGAAGGGTCCCAGATAAGCCAGATGCCATCTGCAGCCCCATTTGCAGGCCGGGATACCCATTGGCTAGGTCTACATCCCCAGACGTGGCGAATAAGGGGGAGGGTAGACTCAGGAAGTTTTGTTTCAGAAATGGTCAGTATGGTGGGTAAGAACTTTGCAGTCATATCCTTGACTACAGTTATTTTGCGTGACTGGCCCAATCCTCTGATATTCCGCGAAAGGAGTTTCATGGGTCCGAGTGGAATACGGGGGTAGCTCCCTGGGTAGAGGTAAACCTGGCTGACCTTCTCGAGAGCGTAGTGGTGCAAGCCCACTGAGTTGGCGGGTTTGAACGCACAGGTAAGAGAGAGGAAAAGAGGTTCTGAAGTTCCCTTTGTCCCTTTGATCGCACCGTTATGCGGCTCTGAGTGTCGGCCTGTAAGAAAAGGTGAGCAGGTCCCTCGGATCCGTCATGTTCGAAGCCCATGACTTTATATATCTCCTTCATCTTTTCAAGGTGTCTGTCTTGTTCTTCCATTTAGTCTCGTCAACGGTGTTCGTCTCTACAGGGTGGATACTGGATTCAGCTTCTGGTGTGGTAGCTTGAACAGGAAGGGGGAACGTGTCGACAGGATGTGGCTCCTCAAAAGAAACAGGGGACGTAGAAATGTGATGTGCAGGGTGAAGGGGAGGAAGAAGATAGGGCGAGTTATGGGGAGGAGGGGGAAAGAGTGGGGGGCGGGGTGGGGGTGTAAAGGTCCCAGAGAGGAGAGCGTTGTAGGATCCTCGTGACGGTATCTATAAAAAGGAAGGGATGAGGAAACCAAACGGGGAAGGAAAGAGAGGGGAGAGGGAGCACCAACGGAGGTCTGAGAATGAAGGTAGGCAAGGTAATGGTGGATGTGCAAGGAAGAGTTGTCTGCCGACAAGTGGTGGTAAGGGGTGGGACAGCGGACGTGCATCATTCTAACGTGCCTGACCCGAACAAGGTAGGGGTCAAAGGGGAGATGAGGGGACAGCAGGCCTGAGACTACTTCAGGTTAAAGAGGGGAGAGGTGAGAAGAGTGAATCGAAGCTAGACCAAAAGGGAGCAAGTTTCTTTCCATAACCGTGCAGGAAGTCGAAGCAACAGAGGTAAAGGGGAAAGGAAAGAAGAGGAGAGAGGTGATACCAGAAGAGGGAAGGAGCGAAGGGATGTTGGCAGACTCAGGGGAGGGGGAGGCAACGAAGGGAGCGAGGGGTGCAAGCGTAGAGGAAACAGGTGGAGGGATGTGAGAGGGATTAAGTAGTAGAGAGAAAGGAGCAGGGAGAGGGTCGGAGGAGTCAGGCGAGGGGGCGGGAAAGGAGGGAGAAGAGTTGGGGTCGAAGAGAGGGGAGGTACACGCGTCAACCGACGGCGTGAGATGATGAAAGAAGGAGAGGGCGGGGTGGTAGGTAAGATTAACGGTTGAGAAGGGGGCGTACAAGGGACATGTGTCAACCCCGTAGGTCGCAGCAGAGGACACGTGATTGGTGGAGAAGAGGGAGGCGAAAAAGGTGAGGGGCTTGAGGCAGTGCTGTCAGAGGGGGAATGATGGGGGTCAAAGGGAGGGAAGAAGAAAGTGGGCCAGAGATACGGCTCGTAGGGGAGCCTGAGGATAAAGAGATAATGGGGAGGGGCTAAGGTTCAGGAACGGGTTGAACAGGGCTAAGCCCAGGCCCAAGAGTTCCAACATCACAATTGTTGGGCCGGGAAGTTGAGTTGAACGAGGAGTGAGGGGTCTGTTGACACGTGGCTCTGGTCTTGTCGAGCAGGTGACCGTTTGTGCCAGGGGCTTGCTGGAAAATAGGCCGAAATCTCGAGCCTGTTGAAAAGGCTGTGGCATTTCGCCGAGAAGATCTTTTTCGTCGTCTTTTCCGTTTGATCAGACTCCACTGAGAGGGTTCCTTACTGCGCTCCTAGGAGTGGGAAGGGCGGTGAAAGAAATGGGGGGAAGACGGAGATGCTGGGGACCAAAAAAGCGAGATCGGAAAGAAACGATCTTCAAACTCCAACCAAATTGTTGAAGGGATTTGGTAAGGGTTCAGCATTTCCAACAGGATGTGGATCGATCCAAGAGGAAGGAATTCCAAAGATTTCCAGAGAATTGAGACCAAATCCCCACATACGACAGCTATATTTTTGAAGGTAGAAGGAGACCAGGCATGTAGGGGGACCTGATCGAGGGTTAGCCAGACTCTCTGTTTGTAGAAGGAACTGACTTTAGGAGACCAAAGGTGAAGCTGAACGGTGGATTCTTTAAAAGAGAGGGGTGGAGCCTCGTTTAAAACGTGTTGAGCCAGTTGTGGAGAGGGAAAGGTAAAGAGAAAACGTGCTGAGCCACTTCCCCTCCCGAGAGCCACCTGTAAGAAAGGTTAGGTTCCTTCCAGGTGATCTGAGCGAGTTTCTCAATCCCCCTGATGTCATCTCTCCTTGGTGAGAAAAAACCGACCAGGGAAGCCTCAAGCTTGGATTTGAGGGGGGTCGACTCTGCATGGGGGACTGAAATACAGTTAGGGGCAAAGGAGTGGCGAGAGGAAGGATCAGGAGAGTAGCCATGGTCAGGCACAGTAGACTGCCCCAGATTGCCAGTCGGAGGAGATGACCGGGGGATCCGGGTGTCAACCTCAGAGGGACGAATGTTCTTTGCCACTACCTCGGCATAACTAGGAGCACTCTGTTTTCCTCGAAGAGGCTGAGTGTGAGCATTTGGAGGGCGGCGAGGGAGAGGAGGAGGGGGGGGGGGGGCTGGGGTACAAGGCATAGACCTGATTCCAGAAAAGAGAGGAAGACTGCACAACGTTTGCGTCTCCTTGCCATTGATTTTCTTTTGTACTATTGTTGTATATTAGTATTGGAAATAGATTTAATTGGACTGTCGAATGTATGCCAAACAGGTCAAGAGCTTTATGTGGCCCTCCATATCTATAATATTTTGGCTTTTTTTGTTTTTTATAGAACCATTATACCGCTTTTTTATTTTCTTAAATTTACTAATTTTATCTACTCTTTTCATGTTGTCTACATCAAGGATCTACGATGACCCCATACCTCTTTGTCTTAGTTATGAATGACTTCATTAGGTATCTACAAGATGAGATAGCGTGGTGTATGTTGTTCGCAAACGATATAGTTTTGATCGATGAGACTCGAAGCAACATCAACACAAAGTTAGAAATTTGGAGGGATACTCTACTACAATTTAAGGGTTTTAAAATTAGCCGGACTAAAATAAAGTGTGTAGAATGCAAGTTTAGTAATAATAGGAGTAGAGACAAGGATGTAGTTAAGATTGATGGTCAAAAATTCCAAAAAGAGCGCACTTTCGATATCTTGGGTCGATAATCTAAGAAAATGGAGAGATTGAGAAAGATGTTGCACAAAGAATTAAAGCCGGGTGAGTGAAGTGCAGATGTGTAACTGGAGTTTTATGTGATCGCTGCATACCAATGAACTTTAAGGAGAAGTTCTATAGGACAGTTGTGAGATCAGCGTTGCTTTATAGGGGGGTGTTGGGTGGTTAAAAAACAACATACTCATAAAATGAGTGTAGCTGAGATGAGGATGTTGAGATGGATGAGTGACATGATAAGAGGGATAGAATTCGTAATGAATACATTTGGGAGAACTTAGGTGTGACTTCAATAGATGATAAGATGAGAGAAAGTCGACTTAGGTGGACTGGACATGTACAACATAGACCCAGTACAATACCTATCAAGAGGTGTGTGTTGGTTCAAGTAGAAGGCTCATAAAGGGCAAGGGGTAGGCCTAAAAGTGCATGATTGGTAGTAGTGTAAAAAGATATGGGTACTTATGGTCTCACTGAAGGTATGACCCTTGATAGAGTAGAACGGCAGATCAGGATTCGTGTAGCCGACCTCAAATAGTTGGAAAGGCTATGATGATGATGATGATGATGATGTCTACTTTTTGCATTTTCCCAATCCTTTATTTTGGAGACTTGGGTGGAATCTCCACCCTGGCTCTAAGTGGGCCTTGCCTAGTTCCATAGTCTGTCCCTAGTTAAAACACTGGATGTTACAGATATATGGGCGTCATAGCACTGGTTTACATTAGGCAGCCTAATATGTTTCAATAGGGGTTGATATTATGCAGTGTTGTGGACGTTTGCTTCAAATTTATCAATTCCTACTCCTCTGAGAGTAACAAGTGTTTCTGGAGCATTTTTCTAATGCTCTCTTACCCATCTTTTTAATTTACATATATTTTTCGTGTTCCTATAGAGGCAAACACATCTCTCAGCTAGTCTAGGAACTAGGGAGTCGATTAATTGGTGGGACTTGCTGCTTTACATATCACTAGCTTGTGCTCAGAATTGTGTTGTCTGTCTATCTTTCCTCATCCTTTTCTTCCTCTCTTATCTGTCTTCTTCCTACCCATTTTCCTCCCTATCACTGTCTCACATGATATTTCCTATAACCTTGATATGTGCTCTTTGAATAAAACTTTATGCCTGGGTTTATCAAATGAATTCCTTATCTATAGGAAAATTGAGTTTTGTAATGGATTGAGTATGAATTTCTAAGCTAGCGTGGTGTATATTGCTATCCATATAATTCTAAGGCTCTTTCTCTCACTCAATGTTAGGTTATTTTCCTTTGCATCTGGTGCGCTCTCTCTCTCTCTCTCTCTCTCTCTCTCTCTCTTCCCGCAAATCAAATTGGTTTATATGAAAGTATGAAACTGGAAAACATACATCTGAAAGAGATTTTTTTTGTAGGAACTCGAGACATGTCAATACAGTTATCAAGAACATTATGTGGCGTAACTGATTTTTTATTCAATAAAAGGTGCGTCTTCTGTTTTCAGTTGTGTTCTATCACTTGCTTAAATTGTTCTTGCCTGTATAATGCTGGTGTTGCAACACACATGGTACCTTACTCTTGCTTCTATTTTAAAATGGAAATGTTTGTGAATGTGATGGTTAAGGTCTTCAGCTCTTTGAAGCCTCTTCCTCAAATTGGAAAGTACAAAGTGTTTATATTGAACATTTGACTTGCACGATGCTTTGTGTTGGAGATATATGGAGACATGCATTTTGCATGACAAGATTTGAGATTTAAGATGTTGATTGGCATGAATGCACGTAAAGATTCACAAGGTGAAAGATTTCATTGGATCTAGTAGGGATTTTAGCAGTTCTTGCAGTTTATCATGTGGTCAGTGGTCTGGGATTGAAGTTGTTCACCTAGAAGGTGTATGTCTTTGTATGCTTGCCTGCACATGCGCCCATGGACATGTGTGACACTTGAAACTTTACACTCTTTTGTTGTCTACGAAACCTAAATTCTTTGGAAGCAGCTATGTAGCACCTGCTACACCACCTATCTATCCAAAACCAATATCATTTTTCGCCACCACCAGATAGTACATATAAACTCATATGATGGACTCCTCCTTAGATCTCACAAACACTTTTTTGTTATTTATTTTTAAATACTTTCACTTCTCATCCCTACGTGGTCAGTGGTCTGGGATTAAACTTGTTCACCTAGAAGGTGTATGTCTTTGTATGCTTGCCTGCACATGCGCCCATGGACATGTGTGACACTTGAAACTTTACACTCTTTTGTTGTCTACGAAACCTAAATTCTATGGAAGCAGCTATGTAGCACCTGCTACACCACCTATCTATCCAAAACCAATATCATTTATTGCCACCACCAGATAGTACATATAAACTCATATGATGACTCCTCCTTAGATCTCACAAACACTTTTTTGTTTATTTATTTTTAAATACTTTCACTTCTCATCCCTACCGTCACTACCTTAATCTATATGCTTTCCAAGCATCACATCATTCCAAAAACCTTTGATTCTTTGCTTAAACTCCATTTCCATTAAGCACAGTATTTTGATTGCCAAGCCGATGTTAGGAATACCTACACCTCTATTCCTTTTGTAGGAACCTCCTAATGAACCAAATGCTCCGTCTTCCCTTGATCACCGCAGTATGAAGAACCTTCTTCTGGATCATAACTAGAAAGCTATAAATGCCTTAAATCATCTACTATTTGAACATGAGACATGCTTTTGTTTTTTTTCTTTCTTTTTTTTGTTTTTTTTAGAGGCCCGGGGGGGGGGGGGGGCGTCTGGGCCAATGATTGGAACTGACTGTAATTTATAGAGAATGGGTAGAATTTTTTTCTATCTATATTGGTTGCTTTTCATTGCGATGTCTTTTTGTCACTTGGGCTGTTCTCTGTTCTTCATGTAAATTTACTTTTTTAATGTCACTTCATTATACAATGACAAATTTCTACTTTAGGGAACAAAAGGGCCTCATCTCTGGGCTATTGAGCTCCTAAAATAGCTCTCATTGAGATTATTTTCTCGAGAAAACATGTATTGACATTCCATTTGTTCTTGAACTCGAATGTGCCTCAACATATTAAAAATTGACAAACTAGATGACATTCTTTTCGTGATCATTCTTTGATAACTCCGGGCTGTAATTACTTGAATTTTGTGTTAGTGATTGGCCATTACTGCTTTGTTAAGGATTTGCCAAGCAAAACTTTCTTAATTGGGTGAGATGCTCATGGGCATAACCTCCTTAAGTTTAGCAATGGCGTCTTGGAGATGATCAATGTTTTGAAACCCAGATTAGCCATCCAGAAAACCGATCCGGAGTGGCAAATCAATGATATGGATTGGCCAGATCTGGCCTTAAAAAAAGTTTCAAACAATTACTACTTTTTTTTTTTTCAAAATCTAATGTTTTAGGTTTCTTAAAACAGGGGTGTATTGCATTATGACCTTTCATTATTTTATCAAAAATACGTAGATACTAAGATCTTGTTTCATGTATGAGTGTTTGTTGACCATTACATTCATTTTACAGTCAAATGAAGTTTAAAATTGCAGCTCATTGCAATAAAATGGATCACTAACTCAATTTTTTTTAGTTTTGTATTTTTATAATATCCAATTCCACTTGCTCTTGTAAAATTATGGAGTAGCCTACTCGTTTCTTCTTTTTCCCTTTTGCTAAAAATTAATTTATTAAATTAATGGGTGTGGTTTGTATAGAGCCGAGGCTCTAAGCAATCAAATTAGTGCCCACCTTCAAATAGTGTTGAGGAATGTCGTTTCAATATTGGAAATATTTGTGACAGCTTTAAAATATATTTTCTTCTTTAATTATTAAATTTGAGGTTTCAAAAGTTGTGTAGATTGAGCAAATCTATGAAAACTTGAAAATCTTGAAAATTGACGGTCCAAAAATACATTACAAGATGCACTATTTCCAAAATTTGAAATCCATTTTTTTCTTATGTCTTGGCATCTTGTTGTCGAGATGATCAATTTGAGGATATTTAGGCATCAAAACAACCTGTTCCAGTGAAATTTCTGAGGTAGGCTCTAAGTTGATTGTTTAGAGCCTAGGCTCTATATAAACTTTTTCCTAAATTAATTGTTTATTTCCATATTGGGAATGCGGACCAAGATTCGTGCGTCCGTCCGCAAATAGTTGGGAAAAGGCTATGATGATGATGACGACGATGAATTATTTATTTTCATATGCTTTTTTATTGATGTTTCATCTCTCTAGCGGTGTATTTAATTTCTCTCTCTAGAGGTGTTGTATTTATTCCCATTCATATTCAATTTATTTCTTATTATCTCTTGAAAATGTCGGCTTAGCCTACTCTCCATTGATTTGACATAGAGATTTTCTTGCACAGAGTTGTGGTACAAATCGTGTTATTAAAAAGAAAATGTTGGCTCTCTCTCTTTCTCTCTCTTCTCTACATTCTTCCTCAAATGACATCTCTTTCTCTCTGTATTTCATCCCCGCACTTCTTTCTTGTGAGAGGATCTCTCCCTCTCATCTCCCAATGCTCTTCCTACATGCTCTCTTTCATCCATCCTCATTTTCTCTCTAGATGATCTCTCTCTCACATCCTTACATAACCACATGCTCTCTCTAAGTTGTCTCCGCATACCCACAAATTCACATGTACCCTTTCCCCCACATCTGATTAAATTTTTTGTGTATAGCTTCTGTCTCTAAACTTCACGTTTCCATATAGCCTCTCTAAAAGGTCTCGTGATCTCTCTCCTACACTAAACCAAATAATCTTCTCTCTCTATAGTCTCAGCCTTACCTACACATGTCCTCTCTCTAAAATGCCGTACCCTTTACCCACATATTCATGATCAATCTCTTGCTTAATTGAGAGAGAGAGAGGAGAGAGAGGGGGAGAGAGAGAGAGAAGGGAAAAAGGTGTCCAAGTTGATGACTTGTCATGGTAGGACATTTTATGGGTTTTATTATATAGGTATTTTGAAATCAACATAAAGTTCTTTTAATTTTATTTGCCGTGTGCTCTTTTTGTATATAGATGCCCACCAATGTACATTTTACCTTTAAATATTAAAATATACTTGAACTTTTTTATCAAAAAAAAGAAATCTGCTTGAACTTTTTATCTTTAATCTTATTGTTTTTAATTATTTTTAATTGAGCCCATAAATGTAGAGAGAACTTTATTATAATGTGATCATCTTTTTGTTATTTCAAATCGAGCCCATGAAAGTTGGTAACCAGAGAGAGAGAGAGAGAGAGAGAGAGAGAGAGAGAGAGAGAGAGAGAGAGAGAGTAGTAGTAGTAGTAGTAGTAGTAGTAGTACGTAACGTAACGTTAAACGTTTAAACGTTTTAAAACGTTTTAAAACGTTTAAACGTTTAAACGTTAACCTTAACGTTAACGGTTACGGTTAACGGGTTACGGTAA